TGCAGAATGGCAACACATGCCTCATCGCGTGAATACACCACATGGATACGATCCGTTACTGACGAACTCACAACAGTGAGATGAGCAAGCTCATAGTCAGGTCTACGCGATAACGCTTCCGCCAAAACATTCTGTTTTCCCGGCTTATACTTCACCTCGAAGTTATACTCTGCGAACAAGGAGAGCCAACGAGCCATTCTCTGCGAGAGATGAGACGACTTTGTCGCTGTGCGTAATGACGCATGATCGGTATAGATCACAAACGGCTTTGAGCCCAACAGGTGTACCCTGAACTTAACAAGGGCATACTACATCGCAATTAGCTCTTTATCATAAACTTAATGGTTCTTCTCTGAATATTTTATCTGGCAAGTTCAAACGCGATGACGCGTTCTCGATCCTCAGAGTCAACTTGCAAAAGTGCACTGCCAATGGCAAAGTCTGAAGCGTCACATACGACGCTAAACGTGCGATCAGAATCAGGCAGAGCCAGAATTGGCGTCTGAAGGAGACTCTCCTTAATGGCCTCAAGAGCCTCGTGGTGCTCGGTGTTCCAATACCATTCCACATCCTTTTTAAGGAGTTTCTACAATTGCCTGGCCACTTCCGCATAGTTGTGGCTATACTTGTGCAAGTAATTTGCCAAACCCAACCACTTGCGGAGGTCCTTCTGGTTCCTCGGAACCGGCCAATCCACAATGGCTTTGACCTTAACAGGGTCTGCCCGGATTCCTCGCTTCCCAATGAAGCATCCCAAAAAGAGAATCTCTTCCGCACCGAAGATGCATTTGTCAATATTGGCATAACTTATGCATCCTCATGCAACCGAGCACAACTCGCAAGTGCTCGATATGATTCTTCACATCAGTCTTGCCATCTTCGGCTCGACTATGGACGAATATATCGTCAAAGTATGTCTGTGCATACGACCTATGAGGCCGAACAACTGCGTCACTAGACGGTTGAGCGTTGCAGGTGCGTTAGACAGCCTTGGTCATCACTAACCACTATCAGAGCATACCTATCGGAGCGCTGACTGCTGTCAGCGGGATATCGATAGCTTGCATGAGCAGTTGGTAATATCCATCGACTAAATCGAGGGCACTGTACATCGTACATCCTGCCATATTGTGCTGAAGAAAATTCTTGCGAGGAATCGGTATTTGAGCCGGGATAGTGGCTGCATTCCGCTTATTGTAAGCATGCACTATTCGCAACTTCCCATTAGGCTTCTTCACACAAAACGTGGGAGTAGAGTGAGGAGACTTACTCTCACGCACCATGATAGCCGCGTGCTTTGCACGAAAGAACTCGTCAATGACGTCACATTGTTCTCGTGGCAGCGGCCATTGTCGCGTCACACAGTATTTGGTTCCTGGAACCAAGTCAATCTCATGACGTACACCTCTATCCGGAAGTAACCTCGTAGAAGGTACTCTGGAGACAACATCTCCATATTCCTTCAGCAAAGAATATAAGGATCCGAAGGATCCTTCAGGATCTGCGATCCACTACGCGCATTCAGCGCCTTCTTGGTATCCTCAAGAACTGCTTTATCCAAAAGCGATGAGGAGTTCAACTCCTCCTCAAGTCGTATAACGACCACTTTGGCGATGTCGCCTCCTGTAAGGCACTGTGAAACTTGGCAAAGGACAACTCTTCCAGCTCTAACAGATCACTTACTGCGGGTATTGCTGAAAGATCCATCGGCTCTTCAACATACCCAGTCAAACCATTGACGAGTGTATATAGCTGTTCGCTGTCACCGTCACTCACGATATTATCATCGCTACTCATGATGGTCTCAGCATCCGATGCCTCAGCGTTCACAGGTGTGCACACCTCAAGGTCAAAGACCACTTCATTTACTGACTGCACCCCACCCTCTTGGGTCAATGCCTCGTCATGAGGTGGTCGCACATCGTTGTCCTCAAATTTTTTTAGGAAAAAAAAAGACAACCGTCATTTTTGACTTCACCCGACCCTCTTGGGCCAGTGCCTCTTCATGAGGTGCTTGACCTTGTTATCCTCAAATATAACATCCATTGATGACTTCACTCAACCTCCAGGGCCAGTGCCTCGTCGTTAGGTGCATGCATCTCGTTATCCTCAAAGATAACATCCATTGATAACTTTACCCGACCCTCTTGGGCCAGTACCTCGTCGTTAGGTGCATGCAACTCGTTGTCCTCAAACACAGCCGTCATTTTGACTTCACCCGGCCCTTCAGGGTCAGTTTCTCGTCACTCATGTCACTTGGACTCATGTCCTGACATCTTGGCTTGCAGCCACCAACACCACTCACGGCGTTTTTAATGATGTAACATCATTCTCATGACACATATCATATTTTCCATCTTGTGTGTTCTCAACCACACTATCAACAGTCATTGGGCCTCGCCCAGTACTATTGTCCTCGACACTTACAGTGTCTACAAAGTCGGATATCCCGACATCCAACATATTGACCAACTCGGTTCAATATCCGCGCCAAAAAGCGCTTTAAAAACATCAATTCAACAAATTTCATTTGCAAATCTAACACAACGTGTACAATGAATACGCTAGCAGAGGTGGATTTCATGACTGTTCAAAGTCCCACCAGGAGCATCGCGCGTTGCGCCTAAGGTCTTCGACCTCCAATCAGTCCATGGCTTATGACGTTCTAGCCATGCCATACCTAGGATGAGGTCATACCTTGCATCCAAGTCTAAGAACAAACAGAGTTCCATGCTGCTAAATTCCAAGAACTTTACATTTAAGTCCATCGGGACTTTGGGTACCGTAACACGTGTACCCGTCGCTAAGCGAACTATGATCGCGTTGCTTTCACGCGCTACAAGCGCTTCAGCATACTGATGACTACCTTCCATGGTGGTACGGCGGGAATAATTTCCCGATGCCCCCAAATAGATCAAAAGGATCCATGCTAATCAAAGCCCTTGACCGTCCCTTCGACGACCAGCAAGCCTGGCTTGCATTCTCGCTCCTTTTTTAGAGTTATGGTTTATTTGGGGCTGGTCCCTGTTTACTTCTACCTCCTGAGGTTCAACAGAACTCAGTTCTTCCCCAGTAGGGCGCCCCGAGCCTACTAGGTCCCGCCGTTTCCCCGCGGCAAACTAGAAGGTTTACCCATGAGGCATCGGCCCTTCGAGGCCAAATATGCCTTTCTTGCAGGCCATTTTACCATTAACTGAGCATAAAGCTCAGCTTCTTCATCCTCCACCTGACTACAGTCCACGAGAACAGGCCCACCAGACGAGTAGCTATAAGTGGCAGGCCTAGCAGCCTTAAAGTTGGTCGGTATTCCATGCCACTCCAACAGCTTCCTCGAACGAGGACGGGTTTACCGGAAGACTTCCGTTCTGGCAACGCCAACTCAGAGGCCTTCCATGAAGCCTGTGACGGTCACTGCCTCAGGCATAGGTTCTATGGCCATGGCGGCAATGAGAGTTCTCAACTCTTACACATATGCCGCAAGCTCACGCTTGCCTTGGCGACACGCCAGAAATCACGACCGATTACGGTGTGCTTGGTTCGGCGGTGCACACTGCCGGGCCATCGGAACTTTCAGATAGGCCCATGGGGGAAATGCATCTTGCAGTGATACACCGCATGTGAACGCCCATCGCTTGGCTAATCCACCTAACTTACCCGTGACATCCCCACACGGTATGATTCATAGGTGATGTCGACTATAAACATAGCCGACTTAACCTGTCGGAACCAAAGCATAAGGTTATCACTTTCTTTGCCGCGTGAAAAGCTTGCTGTTTTAGCAACACTGGATGCGATGATTGGGAACCATAATAGTGCTTAATGCAGGGTAGAAGGTGGAAGTGAACAAACAAGCTTGTGGTACATAGTAGCACGCTCTTTTCATTTCGAAATTAGATTTACAGCCTTTCGATCCTCTATCTTTTGTCTCCGTCAACTTCTCATAACGGTCTGCTTCTCTTTACTTGATCTTCTTGCTGCTTGCCTCCTTTTCCATCTCACTGGATGCAAACAATGATACGTGAACATCAGCTCTTGTCTTTACTTGTGTATCATTCTATATTTCTATTCTCTTGCTCACATTTGTTGGAATTGTTTGCGTATGTTGCTACTAGCACTCAAATCTTGCACTCGTTCCAGTGCTTGACTGTCTGCATGTAGATATCCGATTCCACCGCCAATAATAACTCCACAAGCAACGGCAAAGAATGTAAACGTTTTGGATATGGGCCGAAAGCTAAATCATCGCTTGACAGGGTATTATTTCATACAATTACATTTCACTTGCATTCCAAGTACAAAGCTGTGCTGAATAAGATCAATATGATGAATGCAAATGATTGAAATCGAAAGGATAACTTGATTTTGAAAGAATAACTTGATATTGTAGAAACCTCATCAGTCGAGTATTAAAAGAGCGCAAGAAGGAGTTGTTGCAACAGAGACGTTATAATGAGTGGTAGTAATGTTTTCAGAAGAAAAGAGTTGTCAAAGACCTGCATGATTCTGGTGACTTTGGAGGTGTGTGAGTAAGAGTAGTTTGTTTTAAGATTGAGCATGAAACTAGCGATATGTACGAGTGAAGGTAATAAACACTTGGGTATGACTGTTACGGTACTTGGTAAGAAGGAAGTTCATATGTATTAACGATTGATTGACGATTGCTTAAGTCGGTTCAATTGTCATAAAAGCTTGTTTGCAAATGTTTGGGCCTTAGTAGTGTTACTACAGACAAAGCTAGGCTGGATCAAAACTGTGTAGAAGCTGGATGCGTTGATAACTAAATCTGACTATTTTCCGTCATAGCTTCAGCTAAATAAAAGCATATTTTGTCTATGTTGTGTCTTATTAAGTAGTGACACAATATACATTCTGGCTATTTATGGTGACATATTTATGGGCATTCACTGCACACTGTGTTCACAATTGAATGCCCATAAATGATGTAGAATCCATAAGTTACGGGATACCACACCACTCTCATTCTCAGTTATTCTCATCTAATGACACGCACCGAGGCTTTTGCACCGCAGCGAGAGGCTTCTTATGGATATCGTTCATCTGCATCTTCTTTGTCTTCGTCTACCTCTTCTTGTCTGAAAATATCTGCATCGCTACCTCCACTTCCACTCGCTGCTACTCCAAACTCTATCGACATAAACAGTGTAGAAAGCGAATCAGATCTGATTCATGGGAAATCAGATGAAACAACCTTCTCATCAACACTTTACAATAACGTAATACGCTCGGAGCATCAATTAATCAACAGGGGCAGAGTTTTGTTGCAAGCTTATCAACGTCAAAAGAAAGAGCTGGATCAATTTAGAGAGTATGACTCAAGAGAGGTGAGCTTAAATCGTCCAAGTTTTGTGAGTAAAATTCCGTCAATGGTTGATTCTCATGAAGAATATTCGACCATAGAATATTCCTCGCCGAAGAAACAAGTGGCAGGGCATGTCTCTGTGATAAATGCTCCTTCCATTGATACAAACATGAAGGAGATATTACCTCCGAGCTCACCTGCATCGGGTAACATCGTGTGTGGGTTGAGTACTTCTAGTATTGGATCTCCATTTTTGTTGAAATTAAAGACAAACCAGCAGTCGTTATCAGGAGATAAAAGTGAGAAGAGATGGAAAAAGTTCATCCAGCTGCTTCAAACCAATGAGCAGACGCTGGACATGATTGATGCTCAGCTGGCGGCGATTTGGGCCGAGCTCGTGTTGAATAATGAACAGGTGACAGGATGTCAAGCTTTGGTCGATACATTGAGCCAAATCGCGAGCCAATTGTTGCTACAGAAACGAGAGGCTGCAATTGCTATTGCTAAACTAGTGGAAGTACTGGGATCACGAGTATTTTTGTCGGGAAAAATGACAGATGATGCAGTGGCGTTCGTGAGCAACCAGTTAAGGCTGGAATTAGAGACCTCCCAAGTGCTCGTCGACAGAGTAAAATCTGAAATGACTGCCTGCAGGAAAGGGAGCGAGGTTGTGGGTCTTGGTAAAAACAGAATTAACGCATTGCTGCGTCAGCAGTTGCAAGAGAATGAACAGCTATTGCAAACTAGTCGAGCTGCTGTCGCAAACTTGAAGGATCAATTGACGCTGCAAAAGCAAATTTCTGGGAACATACAAACGCAACTTGAACGGGTCTTGGAGGTAAAGTTGCGAGAGATTGATGCCATGTGCAGTGATGTCGACTTACCAACGGACTACGAGCGAATCAAAACGGTGGAAGGTGTAGTTTGCTATCGTCGGAAAGGCTCTGATGACAGCTACGAGATTGAAGATCCTCGTGTGCACATAGCGCTTAAAATGCGCTCGGTAAGACCTTTGGCTACTGCATCAGCACGTGCATTCGATAGAGAAGCCATTTCAGCACATTATGGGAACGCCAGCTCCGGTAAAATACATCGTTTTCGAGGTGTTAGCGTGATTGCACGTGACTCCGCAGCCCGCGACAATGTAATCTGTCGCTCGTTTTCGACACCACACATTCCGCATGACAGCAATGTACTTGACGACACCCTTGTGCCTCCAGATGATGGCCGCAAGCATGCAATTCAAGACTTTTCGACGCCCTTACCTGATGGTTGGGAAATGCGTGTGACACTTTCGGGTGCGGTTTTCTTTTTCAATAAGCATACGACTGCGACAACGTGGACTGACCCTCGACTTCTCGATTCGGTATCTACATCCTCCTCTGCGGACTACAACTCAAGTCACCCAATGCCGCTCTCTCGTGACTTACGTGCCACAACGTCCGAGTCCCGTCCATCAATTTCTGTCTCAAATACACTAAACTCAGAGCAGCTTGCATCCAAACAAGGGAAAGATGGTGTCCAGTTTATCGACGTAGTATTTGAGGACTGTGGTCCGATTGGGATCCATTTCCAAGCTAATGTGCCAGATTCCGGAGCTACCGTGAGGAGTTTGCTACCAGATATGGCTGCTGCCAAGATGAATATTTTGGAACCGTATGATGAGTTGGTAGCTGTAAATAAGAATTCTGTGGATTCTGCGCCATTTTGCCACGTAATGCTATTACTGCAAGGAGGCTTGCGGCCACTAACGCTTACTTTTAAGCGAGACTTGAAATGCCTACGACGCTCAATGTCGCCAATTCGAGCTTCGCAGTCAAGTGACGTTGTAGCTGTTGTCGTAGGCGGGAATGATATTCCTGACACTACTCATCCAGACGAAGACGAAGAAGTTGTGATTGATGAAGGAACAGTTGTCGACTTGGAACAGCTTCGAGTTCCCATTGCAACTGGTCATATATCAACAGCATCTGGAGCTAATGATGGAGAGGGTATGAATGTTGCTGACGTTATCATCACTAACATCTTTTCTCTGTTTTGGAAGCCACCCGAGACAACAGGTGAGGAGGTCGAAACTGTGTAGGAAAAGAAAGCAGTTGCGAACAGGGTACCAGCGATAGCTATCAGCTTTAGCCAGCTGATACGTATCGCTAATGGAAGTTATATATTTTGAGGCTTGGTGTGAATGCAATGTGCGGACTGCTTAGAATTGCAGGTGCAAAATTGCAGATCTAGCGATCGTGAAGTCTCCGACGGTGTGCTCAATGACTGACCAACATGGACGGCGTGATGACTTCCACAACTGGTGCACCTTGGGAGTCGGCGTAGCAGAGTACCGTATCTTCGGACTTGGTACCTGCAACCGGTGGATTCCAGTCGTATGCCTGGTTTAAGCCTGTCACTCGGTGGACAGACGGGTTTGCTACCCACTCACGGCTCTTAGGCAGCACAACCGCCTTGGTGGCGAAATTTCCATTCGCCATCGTAGCCCCTTTCAGCGTAAGCAGCTTGTGCAATCTTGAGCATATCGTCGGCCTTTGTTCCAGCAATACGGGTGTTGCCATTAGAACGGCATCCACGTATGTGGTAGCTTCGTGCCGGCGTAATAGATCGTCCGGGATCGTAGCAGTCGGCGCCGTCGTGATATTATACACTAGACGGGTAGTTGAAACGATTAGTCCTGCACGCTGACCACAGATCACAAGCATCGCTTTGTTCTTCACGCGCTTCTTCGTCGGCAGAGGATGGCGAATATTGTCAACGCGCTCGTCCGCTGCAACAAGCACCACTACGGGCGTGATTCCACGGTCCCACATCTTGGCAGACAATCGGCTTGCAATTTCCCACTCCGTCATTGTGGGGCGAACGGTACGAGCAACTTCTCCGATGATTTCGCCGCAGTCCTTGCCAAGAGCACGAAGTACCTCCATCTCGTACTCCGTCAAGGTTGACCGGAGCTCAGCGATACGGGCGGCTAGTGCAGAATCAGCGGCGTCCACAGCTACATTATCACTCATGGCAAGATCTTTCGCCATGTCCAGAGCACTTCGCTGGGCGTACCATGGGTCTTGGATTAGCTTGACCTCATTTTCCAAACCTCGCATCTCTTCATTCACCAATTTGTGACCATCAATCTCATTCGTCAGCACTGCCACTTGAATGGCATCAATGTAGATTGATCCTGCTTCTGTAGCCATGAAGACGTAACTTGGAGCAACGCAAAGTTTGCGGAAAGACTCAACACTATGGCACTAAAGCTCCAGCTCTTGCATCAAACACCGCCTGATATGTATGAACAAGGTATGAGATATCGATCATACAACAAAGTACACACCTCTATGACAAGTTTCGACTGGATCAATACTTGGTTTCGTACACGTTAGCTACTTTATGTAGAAAATCGGCTTTACGCTTGATGATGTCATGGTTAAAAGCTCCATGTATTTTTGGTCATTCATACTTGTTTCGATGCCTAATGGGCTCACAATCGGGAATGACGTTGCAAACGAGATATCACCTCTCGCAAATCTTGTTTGACAACCAATCAACCACTCATCTCAGTTGACTAATGTTGCCAACAACGTCTTCGGGCTTGACATGAAGACCTTTTCTAACTACCAAGTCAACTCATTCGAATGAATCGGTTCAATAAGCGCTTGTGACGGATAATTGAACTCGCAGTTTTGCTTTGCGTGCTATCACGCTTATGGGCTTCTGAAAATGGTGCACAGATTTTCACCGTGAGCTCGTCTACTGCATGCAACCAGAACAGCTTTTCCGATATTACGATTTCCTTCTCGCGGCTTTCATAGACAAAGCTAGAAGTGTTTCGTATACAGCAGACCAGTACCTTCTAGCAGCTTACAAGTACCAAGGACGGCATTGTGTCTCAATAGTTGATACACCAAGACACCGCGAGTCGCCATTGTCGAGCTTGGCAGCCGTGCTAATGAGCTACACCATTTAAGACGGTGATGTGTATGGTAAACAAAAGAGAAAAACTAGGTAGGATAGTCCACCCTGACTGTCACCAGCGTCCAGCATGTATTATGTATGTAAATATGCCGAAGACTTAGCACAATGTTTGGAGAAGATGACATTACTATCTTTTGTTGTAGACCTTTCACGCCCACATATAGAAGTTGCTGAATTCGCTGGAAGTCGCACGATAGACGAAGGGCTCTGCATTGGAGTTCATGTGCATCAGCTCATGGCTGTATACATCGGCGACTTTGTTGCTTGTTTGACGAATGGGTCCAGATGCTGCTCGAGTGGGTAATCGAAAACATGTGGCCATCAATGTTGAGTCATGTCAATGTTGACATGGTTGAGTAATTTAAACACTATTGCACTCGTAGCGTCCTGTGTTTGTACGAAAGCTTTTACTGGAAGCTCAAAAAGGCCAGGCTGTCAGCGCGTCAGCATCGATAGTACGAAGATAAAGCGTCCTAGTCAAATGCACCGCATTGTATACATTCCATAATATTTGTCAAGACCCAAGTGGTTTCGGTGTTGCTCACTCGTGATGATATCTGGATACTGAAGATGAAGAGAGCTAACGAAAATGCTTCGACATTTGTGCAAACCTATTGACCATGATTAACATGCTCGGACATGAGTAGCCAAGTAATTACGGACGATTCATGGAGCGCTGCATTTCCATCCAGATGCGAGTTACAAGTTTCTTGGGCTTTGGTGGCGCCGAATTGTTGCTAGTGTTGGCTTTCTGACGTTCATGAGCCATCTCCATGCTTGATCGACTCGCCGCGTCCCACTCGAGAAATCCTTTGACAACATCGGGCATCTTGGCAGGCTGAGAGGGAATCGGCCCGTCGTAAACCTCGCAGATCATTTTTTCAAGTGACACGCCATCTCCACGCTGTTTGACCATGACCCGACACAACCCTTCAGCAAACTGCTTACCATTAGATGAGTCTTGGAACTGTTGCAAAAAGTAGATCCAAGGTCCATCCCAATATATTATTTGTGTCTTAACTTCATACGCGTGAAACGGAAGAATGCCATGGCGAAACCGAATGGCTTGGGATGCCGCTAAGAACATTCGCTGATGTTTCACGGCTTGCCAAAGGACGCCATTAGCCCTGATACAAAACAGCAAACACAACAATTAGATTGAATACGAAGCAAAGATATTTGCCGGTCCGTACGCAGTGAAGTGCCAGCGAGCGAGCTCCATATTATAGAGATACGACGAGTTGTTAAGGTGTAGGTTCACATCACAGTCAAGGAATCCAGACCGAGCTTTCCACACCGCTGGATAATGCAACCCTGCCATACCGGTACGAGACGTCTTGTGTAAAGCAAGGCCGTGTACAAGGCCCGAGGCAATATTCCAGAGCATACGAAGCATTATTTCGATTGAGCGAGTTTGACGTGGCAGAAACTGAAGTGGCCTTCACCAAATTACTGACCGTAAGTTTACGAAAAGCTGAGCGGTTTATGCAAGCCAAAGTTGAAGGTCTTTTGGTTCAAGCTGCCCGGCCGTATTGATCACAAAGCAGCCGACTGTAATTTTGCTGTATCGATTGGCTGCGAGAGACAATCAATGTACGTATCCATCGTGCTCATAAAGTGGTAATACACACGCCGCTTTGGTAGTCAGCAAAGTGAATGTCAAGTCCTTACACAAGCTAATACTCTCCAAGCTCGTCGATGTTACGTTTGTTTCTGAGAATAAATCATTTTGCTCCGAATCGCTTTGCAATGAATGCCTTCTCCTTGATGCCACCCACAGGCAGTGCCAACAAACGGAACAGCTTTTCTAGCAAGACCAGACTTCACAGCTCGATACGGTCGACAAGACAAGCGTTCAACAACCAAGTTTATTTTTACTGACGTACTTGTTTATAGCTAGTGACAGCAACGCCGGGAGCATCCAGCTGATGGTTCGTCTTTATGTGTTATTCTCTTCATCGTTATCTTAATCTCCTCAACGAACATGTTTTTCGCGTTAATTGCATTCATCCGGCTGCCTGCAACCATATTGAAATATATGTGTTCTTTTCCATTACATTTCATCTGGTCCTAGTGATCAGATTCTAGCTGTCGGGTCTTGATTTTTATTATGAAACTCCGCCTAAAGACCGGTGAGACCGGGCAGCATCGCAGCTGCTGGCGTTCAAGACATTTACTGGCAGCTAACCCCGGTGGAAGTTGCAACTGACCACGTCGTCAGGAGCTTTTGAAAGGTCAAAATAATTAAAGATTGAGCCGAAATCAATCGGAAGACAGTCAGAGGTTTCCAATGAAGTTCCACTTTTCAGATGGAGCTGCTTTTCGACTTGACTTGTGCTGCTTTACCAATGACGCGAGGCACGGGATCCAAAAGACACTCATCTATGACTTCTTAGGTAATGCATGAGCCTTGACTGATCTAGCAACCTACCCAAGCTCTTCCATTATCTTTCACCACCTCCATTGCAGCTTTGTTCATTGCAGCGACATTGGTCGTCTCCATTACAGATACTGCAGCATCCATGTTTCTTGCGTCGTAAAAAACGGCGCCGCTGCAAGCAGGAGAACAGACACGCACTGGTTTTATACGAGCGTGTTTCATGCCTCGCAGTGCTGCTTCCATTAAAGGTACAAAACGTTTGGCACCGGACACCGCATGTCCATCCACCAGCAATATGCTCCCACGCAACTATTTCAACATTTTACATCGAGGCGAATTCGCTGCGTTTGCTGGTGTTCTATCCTTTTCAACTTGTCGTGGTCGTCATCTACCACCGCATCAACTTGTTCGTGTCCAGTAAGCACGACAGGACAACCTTTAGCGTCACAGTCTCCTCTGCTTCTTTCTGTTCTTCGCTATCCTCTCGACTCAATGGCATCTCCTTGGAAAACGTTGGTGGTGCCAGGTCATTGCCAATCCATCTCTCCACCTCTTCTCTCAGCAAAACGTCGGATCACTTATCGGATGATACAAACGCAGCAACGACGGGACTGACAACGCTGCAGATGGGTTGACAGCGTGTAGCGTTAGAGCACGTAGCTGTACATAGATGGTGTTCTTAGTTTCCTGCTTCTATTTCGTGGTGAGTCAACTTGGCATATTACAAGCTACATTCTTCCATTCACTAGCGGATCGACGGCGGGTTGCCCGCCTATAAACGACCCTCGCTTGGACGGACGGAATGCAGGTTCCTTGTGCAGTGTCCATGTAGGCAGTGCCCACCAGTTCTCGGCAGACACCTTTAGCCTCGGAATGCAAATTTAGTCAGCGCAGAACTATTGTGGTTTGCCAGGACGGTGAACAAGATACGTTCCCAATTCTTCATAGATAACGCAACATTCTTCAATAGGTACGTCTTCGACGGATCACATGATGTGATGTTAATCTGTCCGTGCATGCCCCCTTGTCGTCCTCCTGGTCCACGTCACGGTGTATTGACCCGACCGACGCGTTAGCCATTGCGTGGCATGGTTCGACAGGAATAGAGACTAATTCAACACCTCCTGCTTGATGCGGTGCATACAGAAAGCCACGGTCGATAGTATGACGGCCGGATTTGTAATCAGTTGAATTGTTCCAGAAACACTGCTTCTATCGGTTCTGATAGTTGTCGCGAGCCCAGACCGGGGTCCCATCAAGATCGCAGGTAGTTAGGCGAAAGCATCACCTGGTTCCTCGAGTGCCTGCCCAGCAGCAGCTCGGACAAGTGCTATAGCTTGACATTTCCCGCTGGCTGTGGTCGCGACTTCACGCATGACGAGCTGGGCTTCAAGGTTGCTCAAACGTGTAAGGCTCACTTGACACGCTAAAAGCATGGGGATCGGGTCTCTCCTGGTAACTTGACGGGTGTCAGCCCAATCAATAACATCTGTCTGCATCGGTTTTGGCGCGTCACAACGACGGACGGTTTATTTACGAGGATTGCCCTGCTGTTTACCTGCCCGTTCGTGCTCAGTTTGCTCGTCAACAGGACCGTCGACTGCAGCGCGTCCCGAGCTAGCTGTCCTGCGGCAAGATCGATAACCGCCGGTAAGAACAACAACGCCCCAATCTGGGCGGTACAGCTTTTAGCATTAGGAAGACGTGCGTTCCCATCTATGCTCGTCATCATAGCGTCGTAGCATCCAGCTTACCTGGTTTCTTGCACCCTGAGATTTGGTCGTATGCCTTGTCCTAGCGTCCAATTGTATCGCTTAAGTTGGCGAATCAAAAGCTTCCCGGTCGCCTAAACTGGTCCCAATGGCGTGCCGTGATACAAAGGACCCCTTTTCGTATCCATTAACAGATGTTTACACTAAGAAGAAACAAATAAAAAGTCTAATCTGATCGTGCTGAGATAGTGACCAATAAGACGAGCAGATATAGTGATTGTTTCATCTTAGCCCTACTATACCACATGCTAGCATGATTGATTTCACACGGCTCCTTTCATCCTTCTAAACTTGTCATATGTAAAAAAAACCAAGGTTCATGCTCCTTTCCCACTGTAATAAGTGCATCATCCTCATCTTCCAAGCGGTACAAAAATATAGAAGTTGTGGCAAGTATCTCTACGATGAGACCAATGGATACAGCTCCGCATCTTGAGATACACATCCGGATGGCGCAGGTGCTAGTCACTCCTGACCCTAAAGATTGCATATTGTTTGTTGAGGTCTGTAAATAATAAAAGAACAGATTTCTTATGTTAACATCAGTTCGCTAAACTACGCAAAGAGCGCTGGAGCTTAACTCGTCAAGCGCCGTGGCTTCGCTAGCATTTTACGTAGACCGTTTGCTAGAGTTGTAGGTGTAGGAAAACCACACTGCACGTAGCCTTGTATCTGCTCACACTAGGAACCGGTTAGAGTTCTGATGCGTAATAGACTTAATAAATACCGGTTAGTGCAAATATCAAAAAGGTAATGCGTGTTATTCCAACCAGGACCGTGTTAGTGTCAACCGCGAAGAAATCGCTCAAGCCCAAGCGTTGTTCCACGTGTCTTCGTTAAAAAGAAAAAGGATTAATTATGTAAATTAAAAAACCTTAACTTAAAGTTTCTTAGCCTAAAAAAGCATATAAGAAACCACTGTAATTTTGCTAAACTGGAATTTTAATTCAGTCTCACACTGAACTCACCAATGCCAAATTCCAACAGTAGGATGCTCAGGTAGAATAGGTTATCTTTGCGCTTCCCAACCAGTAGACATAGTTTGTATTTGCATTATATATACTTGCTGGAAGTGCAAGTTACCTCAGTATTTCAACCTATGCTAGGAAATGTAAAGGAGGTCCTAATAAACTGAAACGGGGTTACAAGATGTGTATTTTATATACACACCTGCCACACCAATGTGGTGTGGCTGTACCTTTAGTACAAAGTAGGTATGTGACCATACCTGAAGTACGAAAGGTCGCATCGTGGCAGAGAGCCACGTGGTCACTATACTTATTCATAGTATAGTGACTATGCATGTTTGCATAATAATAACAGGCTATAGAGCCAGTAAATAGTGACTAGCACTAAGTATAGGATAGGTGCTTCTATATTTAGTGTTAGAAGATAAATATAATATAAATCAGTTTCAAACGTGCTCTGTAAGCCTTACAGCTTGAGCATTCTATTCCTTCTAAGGAATCAGTATCTTTGATGCTAGTCTCTCTGAGACTCGGTTGTTAATACCGATAGGCACAAGCTTACGAGCTAGCCTAGGAGGGTTAAACACCCTAAGACGTAGAAGCTCTCTGAGCTTGTCTTCCTCTGCACATAGTGCATACGTAGCTTTGCTACAGTAGTCTGACTACTTCTTCTGCACATAGTGCATAAGTAACGTAGCTACAGCAGCTCGACTACATAAACAAAAAAACATCAAAAAAGTTCTTAGGTAGCTAGGTTATATATTTATTTATTTATGTTGTGTAATACAAGAGCTTTAAATGGTTCTCCTTTGTAAATAAAGAAGCCACTGCGGCGAAGGCCGAAACGCGTCCGGCAAACGCGCTAATTAATGTAGAAGTCTCAATCATTAATTCGTGTTTGCTTTATTTTTCCTTTTATTGGTACTGGATTTAGTAGCTGTCTGACCATTCGTCGAAGAACACATCTCGTGAAAAAAAAGAAGTTTGTGAAGTGACCTTTACATTTCTGTAAAGGCGTCAAAAATTCTGGACTGACGCAATCTTCTTGTAAAGTACTGCAACCATTTCCATGCAATGTCTCTTCATTGCTCATTCTATCATTTGCTTCATTCGCAACAAGCAAGGAATAACCACCAACCTTGTAGCCGAGCTACTGTAGCTACGCTACTTATGCACTATGTAAAGATGCACTGTAGCCGAGCTACTGTAGCTACGCTACTTATGCACTATGTGCAGAGGCACTATGTGCAGAAGAAGTATTCAGACTACTGTAGCAAAGCTACGTATGCACTATGTGCAGAGGAAGACAAGCTCAGAGAGCTTCTACGTCTTAGAGTGTTTAACCCTCCTAGGCTAGCTCGTAAGCTTGTGCCTATCGGTATTAACAACCGAGTCTCAGAGAGACTAGTATCAAAGATACTGATTCCTTAGAAGGAATAGAATGCTCAAGCTGTAAGGCTTACAGAGCACGTTTGAAACTGATTTATATTATATTTATCTTCTAACACTAAATATAGAAGCACTTACTTGGAAAAAGCTTATCAAGTTCAAGGCACTGGATTAAATATTTTTTACATTGCTCTTTCATAAACGGTTTCTTACTGGTGCCCGTTGTCGCATTATTGGAGAGTGATCGCTGACAAGACCAATGGTTCATTGACAATATGCAAAGACTGGAGGTTTAGCAACAGAAGATTCTAATGTTGAAAAGTGCTTGTCCGTATTCTCGACAACGCCGTATTTCCGCTTGGACCTGCATATGTTGAAAGACATGCTTTACGCTGGAATTCAGATTGTCTTGCGTCGGAAGCCATGAAGGTGCTGGCTACATTGGTGCTATGGCAACCATTTACGTTCGTATCCGGAGATAGCGACCCCAAATTGTGTCTAGAATGTGGAGAATGCCGTAAGAAGCGTACGCACCGTCCACGAAAATCGTTCATACACTATCAATGACTCATTCTGACAGTAATATACTTCTATCTTTTGCCGACTACGTCACTCCGATTCCGAAAGGCCTTGAGCATGGCTAGCTGCGCACACCGTGTTTTCCGTGGCGACGGGGTCGAAAGCCATAAGGAGGTATGCGTGACGCTTTCATTATGTTCCGCTACTGTGCGTACCATACGTGCGTACCATCGGGTCTTGCCTACTGCTATTGACACAGCCGTGCCAACGAATGCAAGCTCATCAAGTCGGACAGCATCATGGACAGAAATGTCGATAAAACTGTGCTGGCGGCTATTGACGGCCATAACGCGTGTCCAATAATGGTGGTAGCTTCACAGCAGTAACCTCTTCTTCACAATCATACCGCGCAGTGTCCTTGTGCAATGCTCCGGCAAGTCAAGTGCTTTGAATGCAACGGGAATTACAACTGCTTCCATTGGCTATGTGACCACGCTCATTCTCTGTCAGTTCTGAAGCACGCGCATGTGACCGTCTCAAGAAGATTGAAGGCAACAACGGTGACTTTGTTGTGATCCTGCGTGTCAGTCTGAGTTGTTTTGCAAGCTAGCATGCGTTTGCCATGGACTACCGCATGGTGGTAAGAAAAAAACGTAAGCTAGTTGATATGTGTTACTAACCGTCCGGAAAAAACTCGATCGAGGTTATAAAGCTTGCTTTGCTGATAAAATCGTCATGGATAAGCTTGACAACCAATTGGTAATTCTTCGCGCAGTCGGCGGTTCATAATCTCCACGGAACACGCGTGCGTCCAGTAGCTGTCATGCACGGCTGCAAATGCAATGTCATCCTCCTCAAGGCAACGAAGCGGTGTCACATCATGTAGAGTCGAGAGAATGAACGAAAGTTGGCGGAAAGGCTAGTTTTTGACGACCGATGCTTACCTGTCGCCTTTCATTATCTTCAATCAGCACATGCTGTACCTTCATGGGCACCAATTTTGTAGACTTGCCGCGGTACGGCTGCACCACCGGCAGACTTAGGGGAGTGACCCAAGACATCGGTTGGCTGCTTTTACCCACACAAGCAGCACATTTGACCAGCCACTCCATAATGTCTCGTGCAGAGGTAACCAAGCCACCCATGGAGCCCATCGTCAGTTCAGCGCAGTAAGACGCAGAATGGTTAACGTCGTCTTCCAGACGAGCGGTGATCTGCTTGCGCGCACCAATCACATGCACTTCATACTGTCTGATTTATTACCTTTCGCGTGATGATGCCGTCAAGAAATCGAGCGCACTTCTTCCTGTGAGCCTGACCAAGTAACCTTAGTAGTTTCACTATCGGTGGTAGAATTACCTCAAGCATCGCATTTACTTTCTCATCGCTTGGCACGTTAGAGCTCTCCAATCTTGCGTTGCTATATCCCTTTCAGATTGTTGCATGCAAATCTAAATCCTAAAGATTTTTAATTCAACTTTATCTTCCTGACTAGCTCCTTAAGAAATGGCTAGAAATATAGTGTTGTTTGTTATGTCTGGTGCATATTTGTCTTTATTTAAGACAACACTATCAACTGTTTATTAGCTTTATCGTACATATCGGAAGATATCTGTTCAATCTTAACAAGCAACCGTGTCTTCACACTTTGTTATCTAACAAAACTCTTCTTTTCTGAACATACTAAACAACTTATTCCAATGTCTCTGCTGCAACAACTCGTTCTTGCGCTCCTATTCGACTCCTGATCACATTATCCTTTCAATTTCGTTCATTGCATTCACGATTTCGATTTTGATATTAGTCAGTACAGTTTGTTCTAAAATGCAAATACAATAACTAGTAAACTGTTAAATTACATAATTACTTATTACAATTCCTAAAACTTATAGTTAATGTTGCACTAGAAAGACATACCACCTGCGCCGCAAAATAATATGTGACGCTGCAATAGCACTGTACTAGCAACTCAACAAAGATTACCAACCGCCAGTAATGACCTCCAGTAACCCCACGACCCCACGTGCCCCACAGCGTCTGACGCTGGAAGAAAAAATGTGGTTTGATCGACGACGAAAAGATATTGAGTACTGTTCAGGCGTTGGTGGAGCTTTGGGTGCTGCTGTGACTGCCACGATTACCAGTAAACAATTGTTAACTTAATTCCTTACGTCTTTCCATTAATTCGTCACCTTTTGTATTAATTTGTGGTGTTTTAGCTTTTGGCCCATTTCCAAAACGTGTACAAGTCTTTGCCATTGCTGGTGGAGTTATTATTGGTGGTGGAATCGGATATCTATATGCAGACAGTCAAGCACTGGAACGAGTGCAAGATTTGAGTGCTAGTAGTAACTTACGCAAACAATACCAACAAATGTGAGCTAGAGAATGGGAATATAGAATGATACACAAGTAAAGACAAGAGCTGATGTTCACGTATCATTGTTTGCATCCAGTGAGATGGAAAAGAAGGCAAGCAGCAAGAAGATCAAGTAAAGAAAAGCAGACCGTTATGCGAAGTTGATGGAGACAAAAGGCAGAGGATTGAAAGGAAAGGCTGTAAGTTTACTTTTAGAAGGGAAGTGCGTGTTACTATGTATCGCAGACTTGCTCGGTCGCTTTTACATTCTCCCTGCATATATCACAGAACCTGGTTCGACTTTTTTACAACGCCCATGTGAGGAGTATTTGTAAACGAAAGTTTCTGAGTGGAATCTTGCATTCAGAGGCTGCCTGTTCACCATTACTAGCGATTCGTTTATTGCAATGTCATCGGTTTCATAACGTCAAGGTATGGACGTGCTTGCACGCGCCGCATCTGCTTATTAGAACAAGTGAAGGCAAGAAATGGACGATCAAAGCTCACAGCTGCCAATGGTATCCTTGCATCGTTTTATCCTAGAACATAGTTGCCGACGTATGAGATAATCTTATAGCTGTTATACGCAGGTATAATGCCATTTCTCTCACAAACTATTAATGGTCTTAATATTCTGGAGGGTTAAATCTTCGCAATACGACTTCACCCTGGGCATTGCTCGCGTTGTTTTAACATCAAATGCTCCTCAGCTATATAAACAACACTATTGGAAAAGATACAAATGAAATAGTAAGCAGCATCTGGTGTGTCTACTCTTAGCTTCGCAAGGTGGATTAATAACGTTGTCTGGTGTCAGCGTGGTGTTGATTAGCTTCCGTACAAGTAAAAACAGACGGCTTGCAGTGTTTTTGCTGTCAGAGTTTCAATGTGAACACTCTCATGGTTCATATACTTAAATCCAATCACCTACATGTTTATAATCAATCAGCATATATATTTTATCTAGCTCAAACAGGAAGGAGTACATTTGTTCCATATCGCCAATCGTGACTATAAAATAAGGTATTTCTATGCAATCAGTCACTTTATACAAAAGATGCAATCTTTATTTCTAAAGACCACTAAGTTCGTTTTTTGTTAAAACTATATAATGTGCAGGAAACAAAACGAATGCGCAAACAAACCTGTCCTCACTGAAAAACCCAAATCGTCTTATATCATTCTGTAAATTTTGATCCAGCAGCTCCACTCAATCAAATCCTTTCTCTCTCATATATATATGTCAATGAATGTAATTGAAAAGATCCTATGTCATCATACAATCGGTCTATCTAAACCATTTGTACGTGTTGGTGATGTATTATGTGTAAAAGCTGATTGGACCATTGCCAGTGAATTAACATTTCAAGCCATGGATACAATGCATGCAGCCATTGGTCGTCCACCTTTACATCGACCTGATCGGTTTTGGCTTGCTCTAGATCATACGGTTGACCCACGAGTGAATCATTTACCGAAACAAAAAGCTCTTATTGAAATGTCCACATCATTTGCCAAAACCCATGGACTGACAGAGTTTCAACCAGCTAATACCACTATTATGCACACGGAGTTTGCTCGTAAACGTGCACAACCTGGACAGATCGTCATTGGTGCAGATAGTCACACATGCAGTGCTGGAGGTATGGGTGCATTTGCAGCGGGTCTAGGTGCTGGTGACGTTGTCATGCCCTTGGTCACGGGTCAAACGTGGTTTAAAGTACCTGAAGTGTGTTACATTGAATTTGTTGGTGCACCACATTTTGGCATTGGTGGTAAAGACGTTATCCTTCATATCCTTGGAGAACTCAAGCGCAATACGGTAGCTTTTGAGCGTGCAGTGTACTATGGTGGCTCAGGACTGAAATATCTATCGGATGATGCTCGATTTGCAGTGGCAAACATGACCACCGAGTTTGGTGGAATTGCGGGTGTGTTTCAAGCTGATGCTATTACGCAACAGGCGCTGGAACGACGTGATTCGCATTTCGATGAAGCACTGTTCTTTGAACCTGATGAGGGATGCAACTACGCTGCTCATCATGTTATCGACTTGGCTGATGTGAAGCCGCTTATTGCTCTCTACCCGTCACCTGACAATTGTGTTAGTGTGCAGGAGAAACTCGGCATGAAGCTGGACGGATGCTTTATTGGTGCATGTACCACTACTCAGGAGGATTTGATCCTGGGGGCGATGGTGCTGCAACAGGCAATGATGGAGGGTAAGCGTCCATCGGCTAATGGCAAGCGACGTGTCACCCCCGGCAGTCTGGGGATCATTGACCGACTAAAGGATCTGGGACTGATTCGTATTTATGAGGAAGCGGGTTTTACTGTTGGTGTGCCGAGCTGCAGTTTCTGTGTAGGCATTGGTGCTGATGTAGCTGGTGAAGGAGAGGTGTGGCTCTCGAGCCAGAACCGCAACTTCCGGAATCGTATGGGCAAGGGTTCCATTGGTAACATCAGTTCAGCGGCCGTGGTGGCTGCCTCTAGCTTCGACATGGAGGTGGTGGATCCCAGGCCATATCTGGATAAGATCAACAAGGACGACTATGACTGCTACCGCAACTGGGTCAAACCGGATGCGTCTACACCATCGCTGACGAAGACGACCAAGCCGTACAAGGTGACAGAGCCCAAGCCCGTGCTTGTGTCGAGTGATGATGCTGAAAATGCACAGCAGGCCAAGGAGCAGGCTACAGTGGCTGAGCTAGAGGCTGCTTTGCCGCCCAAGTTCAGTGGTAAGGTGCAAGTATTCGGCGACAATATCGATACGGACGCCGTAATCCCGGCGCAGTTCATGGGTCTGAACAAGTCGTCACCGCTGTGGCCTGCTGAGTGCGAGACGGAGCTGGACGTATTGGCTGCCAAGTCGTTCGCTTATGTGCGCCCCGAGTTCCCGCAAAAGGTTAAGGATGGTTTCAACATCATTGTGGCCGGTACAGCTTTCGGTAGCGGTTCGTCTCGTGAGGAAGCTGCTATCTGCCTAAAGGCCGTGGGTGTGCAGGCTGTGATCGCCAAATCGTTTGCTTATATCTACGCTCGCAATCAATCCAACAATGCTCTTCTGGGTATTGTAGTGACGGATGAAAAGTTCCACGAGCTTGCGAGAGAGGGTGAGGAGGTGACTGTGGACCTGCGAAATCGAGTTGTGAGTGTGAAGGACCACCAGGTCGCATTCTCGCTGACGCAGCTTGAGGAGGCATTCCTTAACGGTGGTGGTCTTCAAACTCTCTTCAAGCAACACAAGGCAGACTTGTTCCGTGCCGCTATGCGTGGCAAAGCTCCCAAACCTATTGCTTCAAGCGTTGTTGGCTGCGGCGATGTCTGTGGCGGTGAGGCGGTATCTACTCCATCGTGGTAGCTAGCAATAGCAATTGATACTTGTGTTATATGCACAAACAAAAGAACTTGCAGCATATTGAATGGGTGTTTTCAAGTGACTAGCTGCCATGTCATACCTGGTATGGTTCACAAAAACAATTTGACGTCCTCGTCGAACTTGCAATTGGTTTGTGCGATGCTATGTGTTCATCTTGACAGTATTTACTAAGACCTTTTGCTAAATTGCGAGACACACAGAGTGAGTAAGTGATACCATTGCGTAGATGCATATAATTTATTCTACTTATTCTATTGAATGCACTCTTACTGAGCCAATTGTTGCATGAATACATTCGCACTTATGACCTAGTGTTCCTTACACATGTTGAAGTGAGGTACACCTGTCATGGGCCTTTGGTGTAACGGGGTTACACGAAGGTGTGTATTGTACATACACACCTGCCACACCAATGTGGTGTGGCTGTACCTTGAGTACAAAAGTAGGTATGTGACCATCGAAGGATCGAATCGTGGCAGAGAGCCACGTGGTCACTATACTTATTCATAGTATAGTGACTATACATGTTTGCATAATAATAACAGGCTATAGAGCCAGTAAATAGTGACTAGCACTGAGTATAGGATAGGTGCTTCTATATTTAGTGCTAGAAGATAAACATAAATATAAAACATTTCAAACCTGCTCTGTAACCATCACTGCTTGAGCTTTCTATTCCTCTTGAGGAATTGTATCTTTGATCCTAGTCTCTTTAAGACCCGGTTGTAATAACCGATAGGCACAAGCTTACGAGCTAGTCTAGGAGGGTTAAGCACCCTAAGACGTAGAAACTCTCTGAGTTTGTCTTCCTTTGCACATAGTGCATAAGTAGCTTAGCTACAGTAGCTCGGCTACATTTGGCACCTATATGCATAAGCATTCTGAGCTGTCACAGTACCATATTGTAACTTTCTTCGTGCCTGTACTGATTCAATAGTTATGCCTTGTGATTATGTTTCGGCTATATACCGCCGCCCGATTGTCACAAGATAAGACATTGACTTTACAATCAAGCAAGAGAATCATAATCAGAGGTCGGATCAGCAGTGTTTGAGCTGGCGCTCAAATCAAATTGCTGATACCGGACCCTTTGTTATTGCAAAGACGTAGATGAAACATGCAGAATTCGGAACGATTGACGCCAGATAGTTATTATATGCAGCACGACACACCAGAACAATTGGTGTCGGCGTCTTTATATATGGATGAACAGACAGGTCTACTGCCATGATGGGTAAAGAAGCGTGCTTTTTGTCAAATGGCAGGAAGCTCGTCGTTGAGAGCAGTGGTGCAAGGACAGCATTGAAAAAAGTAAGCCGACCAAGCTCGTGCGATATATACAATAGCTAGTGTGAGTGATAGAGAGCAAACAGCTAGGGCATAGCTGCAAAAGTTTAATGATTAGCATGAATTCGACCTTATCAAGCGCTATGGCCAATATATCGGGAAACAGAGCAGCATGTGGTAAGGTCACTGCCAATTAGTTTTGCGTCTTGCCTCTGATCTGATGTGCGCACGTGTACTCCCTTTATTTTCAACGGGTGGCCAACAATATAACCCGGAAAACATAAAAACACGCAAGCCTTAGATGTTACCTATGCATTACCAATACTTATACTAAAATTAGCCTAGGTAAACCACAACCTCTGGCTAATTAAGCAACATTAATACCTGTGCCTTTAGTTGCAAATTACTAACCTGTGTCCAATGACCCCGAAAAAAAACATCTTGCCTAATTATATGACAGGACCAAAGCCATGCGTCACTTCAACGGCATTCGCGATCTGGGGTGTGTGGTCCACACAACGCGATCCGATTCGCTGAAGGCTCGATCTGCGATCGCGATCCGAAGTGTGTGGCTTACACCACGCGTTCCAATTCGCTGACGACTTGAACGCGATTGCGATACGGTGTGTGTGTAATCCACACCACGCTACCGGCACGATCGCAATCCGAATTGTGTAGTTCACACCGTGCAATCGCTTTATTGACCAATCACGTGTAATTCGGATCTACCACGATTATTGGATCGCCCCGCAATAAGATCATTCCCACAATCTTTACTTTTTCACAATACTTTTAACCTCTTGGTACCGCTTAACCTTTGCCTTCAGCGTGGCGACGTTCACAACGTACGAGACAACATCGAGCAGTAATCTTTGTAGAGGTACATCGGAAATGTCGCCACCTTGAGCCGGCGGTCGCACCAGGCTCTAGAAACAGCTGGACGCTGCGCATTATAATAGATGGCTTGCAAGACATACGGTAACTGTTTGGTAAAATGGGTAAGCTATAAAGGTCTGGCGGCCTGCGTCGCCGCAACTCCTCAAAAAAAACACGTACGAAAACACTAGACTTCGAGAAAACCTTCTGTTGCTGTCCGGCTTGATCAGCGTGTAAGAATTGCATCTTGCACATGCCCTCAGACAAAACCTTCTATTGCTGTCCGACTTGATCAGCGTGTAAGAATTGCATCTTGCACATGCGCTCAGACAAGTCCTCAAAAAATATGAGCTTTTTGTTAAGTACTGCTGCAGGCATAGTCGACCTGTTTGAAAGGTAGTCAACGTTTGGTTGTGACCGTCAACTGCCATGGCTGTTACATTTATTTCGGCTTTTCGAACACCTTTTGTTTGGCTCATAACCTGTCAGAAGTATATCGTGCACATGTCATACAGTAGGTAGAATCACAAGTTATACATATTGTACTGCTAATGCTAATTACATGCAACTACATGCATATGCGGCGAGAATGCAATATTACAGCAGCTTGGCCTTTGTGACCGTCACAACTGTCTCCCATAAAACCTTTAGTCGCATGCACTAGTAATGGCCAGTGTCAGGCAACCTAGTGTGGATGCACCTTCCGTTGACCCTGCATTTAATTTTGAAACATCATAGCGATCGGTTTTAGCACGTGTATTATCTCGGGACGCTGTGCAGTAATCGTTGAGTCATACAATGCCAATACCGTATTGTTAACGAGGCACCCTTTGACTATACTACCTTACTTACACTGACAACACAAGAAGCAGGAACATTGAAATCTTGCGTACACGGTAAGAGGATCGCAAGACAATTATGCGGTAACGCATTGTCATACTATAACGGAGAATTGTTTGTTCAAACAAGTATATGAATTAGCATCAACCAATTTCTATCAGTTTAAACCACTAACATCAATGTTGGTTTAAGTGCTAACCATGCATTGGCAACGGCGAGTTGGCTTATGTCATTACCCTATCAGCTAATTGTTGGAGTGTGGCCCACTTCGAGGTACGATATCATTTAGACGGATATTTAATGATGACGTACATCACTGACATCTTATGATAGTGCCAATGTTTAGTAATATACTGCGCTGCAAAGAGCTTTGTCAAGCGGCCGTTCTTCTACATTTCAGCAGTAGATCAACTCGGGTTTGCAAAGCGATTGCAATATGCTGAAGAACGCGCCTTGATTGTAACAGGCAGATTTTATAGCAACCTTTCGACCTCAGTTAAGAGTGTATAAGATTTAGTAGACTACTCGTTTACACCAAGACAAAATTGGACAACCCCGTTAGAACACAAGGTCACTTGACACTCTTTCGCAAGATTCTATAAATAAGACGTTCTTGATATACTAAAATTATCAAATTTAGACGAAATACCTATTAATTCATTAGTCTATGTAAAGCGTGGTGTTTTCAATGGTAAAAGCTAGAGCGGTCTTTCTTTTAATATTTCGTAAATATTGTTGAAAACGACACTTTACGACTAAATATATTATTCCTGCAGCGCCATGTCCGTCCAAAGCCGTCGAAGTAACGCGCGTCTTCCTCCTGAAGTAAATCGTGTGTTATACGTCCGTAATCTTCCGTTCAAGATTTCATCTGAAGAACTCTATGACATTTTTGGCAAGTACGGAGCGATACGACAGATTCGTATGGGCGTTAATAATGACACCCGAGGGACAGCATTTGTTGTCTATGAAGACATTTACGATGCTAAGAACGCAGTGGACCATTTATCAGGTTTCAATGTCTGTGGACGGTATCTTATTGTTCTTTATTACCAGGCTAATAAGATGCAACAACGGAAGAGTGCGGCCGTTGACTTTGACAAGCAAAAGCAGGAATTGCAGGACCTGAAGGCCAAGTACGACGTTGAGTAGAGGAAAGAAAATGAAACCAGTTCTGCTAGTATCTTTGCAACTTCGTTATATTTTGTTTAATACGGATGATGTCTCTAGCATACTTGACTAGCCATAAATGGAGAAATGTATTGCCACTTCTTACGTTATTTCATGATAATTTGAAGATTGTTTCTTCCTTTGTTTGGTTTCAGCTTAGTAATACGATTAATAGCTTTGAAAGTAGTGCTCTTGGACGTTACAGCTATGAAACGACACAAGGGCGTTTGGACTAAGTCAGCTACTGGTTCTCATGAAGTGCGTGGTACGACCTTGGGCATCGTTGGCTATGGACGCATTGGATCTCAAGTATCGGTATTGGCAGAACTTCTAGGTATGAAGGTGGATTTCTACGACCCTATAAAGTGTCCGCCTCTAGGTAATGCACGGCAAGTGGATTCGTTAGAGGAGGTGTTGGAGATGGCAAATGCCGTGACTCTCCACGTGCCAGCAACAACAACGACGAACAAAATGATTAATCGTGAGACGATTGCACGGATGAAGGATGGTGCTCCATTGGTCAACAATGCACGTTGTACGTTCCTCGGCATTGTTGCTGCCAAAAACGCTGTCGAATGCGGCAAGATTGCTGGATTGGCTGTGGATGTTTTTTCCCAAGGAACCGGCTAAGAATGGCGAGCCATTTGATACGCTCCTGCGTGGTTTACCAAACGTGATCCTCACTCCCCACATTGGTGGCAGCACGGAGGAGACCCAGGCCAACATTGCAGTGGAAGTAGCGTCAAAGTTGGTGCGTTACATTAATGAAGGCTCTACAACAACGTCTACAAACACGCCGGAGATTGACATGCTGCCCATTCGCACCAACTCCATGCGTATTCTTCACATGCACCATAATGTGCCTGGCGTGTTGAGCAAGATCCATTCGGTGCTGTCTGACTACGGCATTAACGGGACGTCGCAGTATCTGCAGTTCGGACCCAGAAGTGGAGAAGTTCCACGCCAAAGTGGTAACACGCGAGCTCAAGAAGATCAAGGAGACCATTTTTGTGCGTGCTATCATATAAGTTAGTTGGGCTTTGAGACACAATCGTGGATGGGCTTTGACGAAGGAAACTTGAAGAGACGAAGACAAGTGACTGCAAAGAGGCAACAATGAACGTCAGCTCCGAACTCAAAACGACTATGCACCTACACTAGTATTGCTCTCCGTTGGCTGACAATGGCGACTCGAGGCTTCGTTCATGGAGGCAGGAGGCCAGTGAGCGATCTCTAAACTTCGTAAGTAAAGATAGGAGCTTTATAGGTAGCAAGCAGCACACGAACACATTACCCGCTTGCTTATGTGTCGAAATCGCAGACGTCATTTGACCGGTAGCATTGCCATGTCTTCATCCTGTAGTATGGCTGATACTAATAGATAAGATTCCAACGAGTCAAACCTCTGTCAGAACTTCGCCACTACAAGCACCTGAGAAAGCAGCGCAACAAATGCAGTGTAGTCAATCAAATAACTCACTAGGCACTGAGTGGTGGCCGAATGGTGGCGTGCTGAGCCTCCGCTTTTGCTTCATTACTTAATTATTAGAGTCGGCACTTCGATCAGTCCCCGCAGCTTTCACCAGATTGGCCAATGGTCGTTTTCTCTCGTCAAGGGTAGACCGTTTCTCTCAATCTCAGTCAGATCCTAGTCGACATGACAATCTCTCTACTCTAGGCCGAGGCGTCATCACGAATCTTACGAAGACGAGCCAGAGTAGAGCGCACCGTAGCAGCAGAAGCCGTGTTCAGCAGGTAAGCGCCACCAGCAATGGTCTTGTAACATGAGCGGCACTGCCAGATACCCGTTACAGTTCGCTTGATTGAGTCCTTGCCACAAAATACGCAATTGTACTTGGCATGCTGCGATATTTCAATCTTTTTCACAACTTTACGAAGCGATGAACCGTAGCGCGTGCCGTACTTGCCACAAATGCCAACTTTTTTGGTCCGCTTGCCCTACATAGATCACATCACATTCCAGACACGCCATAGTGTCAGCCACCCGTGTAAACGTCTCATCTCCAGGACTCTTGGCATATTCATGCTCAAATAATTCTCTTTCATGCCGCAATTTCTGTCTTATAACGATGTCTAAGTATGTAAACAGTTGTTACGTGCAACACTTCATTCCGTAGCGCTTAAGTGACAATATATCACGCAGCAAGCATGATTGGAACGATAAGAAAGAGCGGAACAAGAATAGGTACAACATCATGATAAAGTCCTAATTCTAGCAGCAACAGCGACCTTACCATTTTTGCTTTTTGAGATGAGTTGGAGAGAAATCGACTTTGAACAGTGAAAGAGCTCCCAGCAGTAGCGCTGACTACGATTGAATGGCGGAGCAGGCCACCTTATATTCCACCAATCCATGCAAATGTGAATTTATCCAATCACAGACCAGTGCTGAGTATGATGGTTGTATCCCACGATTTAAATTTTATATAAAACTACTCGCAAATATTCTAAAATATCTCGTTTTCGAGTGAAATGGCAAAAAATAGGAAATATCCTGATAAATTATACATATTCTAGGTTGACGAAAAAAATAACAAAATGATGGCTAAATGTAAATTTTGCACAAAATTTAGCAATTGGAATTATACCATTAAATCTTTTTGACGCTAAAAGTTCCATTTTAGAGGTCGTTCACATCATAAACATATCTATTAAGTATAATCGAATTTATGACGTTAAATTAGGACTTTATATCAAGCTTGAAGTCAAGGCCAAGCTTTGATTACTGACTCAGCATAACTCTCAGCCGCAAGATCGCTAAAGCATAGCAGACATATAAGCTCAAGACCGAAATCACCGAATGCGGTAGACTGTCGAAAAAAGTAGCCTTACATGTGCAGTGGTAGCAGCAAGGTCGGTCAAACTGGTAATTGTTAATGAGGCTATGAAAGAAGGGCTTTAAGATGATGACTCATCGAACGTGAGGGTACGAACTGCTGCTTTGAGGTGAAGGAATGAGAACTTAATCTGGCTTTTTGCATGTGAAATTATGTGGTGCAAAAAAAAAACACCACTATGCTGTGTGCTCATCTCCTCCGTCAATGTAAAGGCTTTTTGTCTTATACTAATGTTAAATGATATTCCTCCCTCATGTGCAGCTGTCATGACAACATTCTTGCATGTTTGGTCAGGAAGGAAACGATATACAAAGCTAATGTAGTGGTAGACTAAAAGCTCAGACAGTAGCAGCTGGTCTGCCAGTCAGTCCGGATTTTACAATGTGTACACTGTCCACATACAACTGCTCAGAGGCTTACAAAAAGATGAAATCACGATCAAAATGTGCACGCTAAGCTGGTGTACTGCTACCAACGCTTGGTTTTTCTGAGGAAAGTTTGGTGGCGCAGGGACAATTATTTCCATTAGCAGTAAGATGGATCTTGAAAGGTTGTGACAGATGATGGTATACTTAAACTATGTGACGAGATAATGAGCTACATATTCGTGTAATCTTGTCATAATTGATATTTGCTTAATCGTGATAAATGCTACAATGATAGCATTGTGTAATCCTGTCAATTCTAATATTTTGAAGATTTTTAAACATGGCGAAAGAGTGGGAAGCTTCCGATGAGGAGAAACTACAGATTGCACAGCGATTTCTGCTCGCAAGTCCTCCTGGTCAATTTTACGAGGTACTACGAGATATAGAAAAGCTTGTACCGGGACATATTCTCTCCGACACGGTGCGGCAGAGCGTTTTGCATGCTTATAACATCAAGAACTTTCTGCCAGTGGAGGTACCGGATGCAGACTATAAGGTATGCTATTGCATATTGAATCATAAACGAATGAGTATGAAGAGATAGAGGCTATTAATGTTTGAAATATGCATGTTTATATTCAGATTTTGATATGCGAGGAAGGAGAAATTGACGATGCTCATTATATTGATCCAATTGGGAACCGTGTGCTGGGTTTTGACCATATGAATCAGCAAATTATAGCTGGAGATATTGCAGAGATACCTGAACCACGTGTCACAGAGTTTGAGAAAGAGCGGTAAGAAACCTGTGAAGATTTATATGATGATGCTGTTTAAAGTTGACTGGATCATAATGATACTATTCTTGTCGGGTATTAGGCAACAAGTGCAGCAAACGTTACGATCCTACCTGCAGTTTGAGTACATGCACGGGTAAGCAAACATATGGACATGAAACAGATGATATCATAGCGCTATTGACATTCTTTTTGATGTTTTGTAGAGGAACTGCTGGTGTGTACGTCGTGGGCACAAAGCTGATAGTGAATTTATGCACGGAACGTGTCAATTTACGCAATTTTTGGGGAGGACGGTGGAAGTCGCGGTGGGAAGTAGACTTGACGGTCAATCCAGCTACGGTGAAGGGCACCATTCAGCTACATGTGCACTACTTTGAAAACGGGAACTTGCAGTTGCAAAGTGTCAAAGATATTGAAGAAGAGATTACAATTCAAAGTCCAGGCAATCTTGGCGACGCTATTCTGCGTGTTATGAAGGAAGCTGAGGACAACCTGCAGATGAATCTAGAAGATATGTACAGCAACATGTCCGAAGAAACTTTCAAGGAGATGCGTCGCGTCATGCCTGGTTCGTTCGTTTATTAATTTGTTTGTTTGTCTATGAGAGTGAGCTTATCGTCGTTGTTGGCAACTCTGTGGATTGTGTAGTTACGCAGGCAAAGATGGAGTGGAGTTTGTACGCGCATCGCACGGCAAAAGATCTTGGACGCAGCAAATAAGAGGAGGTGATTGCTTCAGCTCGTCGACAAATCGCAAAGTTTAGATCGATAAGCAGAACAGAAGCTGCGTAGAGCGCAACAGATTATGCGTTGAGCGCATCTCCTTTATTGATGCCAATAACTTGATGTTGCTTAGTCTTGGTATCTAGTTGCTGGTCGAGTGAAAAATACCGAGCGGCTACGAAAGCTATGCTTCAAATTACGCAACAATACTAGCAGCCCTGCGACAGTAAAGACGCTGCATTATCAAGGGTTAATGCCAACGGCGCTGCACTTTCTGTCTAGATCGTGATGCTGTAGTGTGCTAGCGGTGGTCCGTTTCTAGAAGATGAGGTGCCAGGCGCTACAGTAAATCGTGCTCTTAACTGCTTTCACTACCACCCAAAGATCTGAAGCTTAACTTATTTATCCAGAACGTTGTAAGGTGTGAATCCTTGGCGACAGCATTATGAAATGTTGGAAGTTGCGGCAATACAAGACAATCCGATGATACATTACATCAATTACATGATTAGATAGACATGTTACTCTTATAACCAAGTGCAAATAGTCTAGTTTTGGAATGATTATTACCTATTCCTAATTCAGTTTATTTAATGTAATGGACACAACTTGCGTTCCATTGAACATATCTTATTGACTAGTTAATCTAGTACGTTCTGCCCTAATTTGAGTGACAGATGGAATTCCTAAATCGGGGCAACGCAACGATTCACAAAAGGGTTGGCTTATATAACGACAAGATAATCTTGTTGTGTACATTTACTAAGATCTAGTTTTAATTTTGTGTGGTTTACACAGATCCAAAATTGATGGAGTGCACGAAAAAGTTCAGTCAGCTATTTACTGGTCTCAAGGTCCATCAACTTTTCTGTATTCGGCACGGATAATTTAGAAAGTTTAACATGGTAATTGTTAGGACTAGCCTAACACATTGCATCACGTAATTGTTTTTGTTTGCCGATGAATAATAGGAGATCAGGTCTCTCATAACTACATCAGCTCACTTGATTGCACGAAAAGCTACTGCAGCTACACTCATAAAGCGCTTAGGCTTTACTAGTCATTTTTTGGATTGACGTCTAGGGTTGTAGACTTTATAGTTGTTAGAGTAAAGGTAGAAGTACATGTAAACTATATTCGTAATTAGCATTAATCTCCGATGACTTACTCGTGCGCAAGGAAGCACTTTCGGCTGTCTGTCAAATGTTTGTAGCTCATCTTGTCGCTATTCCTGCAGCTTCTTTTATTTGCCGTCCAATGTTATTACTCACTTTTAGATAACCATTAGCTAGGAACGGCCGCTTTCAACAATCACAGCTTTACCTTGAGTCACCTATTAGCACCAACTCGTTCCAAAATTAGCCACATCGCGTAGGTCTTAAACAGCAACGTAGTATTATTTGCGTGTTGTCCTTCCCACACCATCATCACAATGCGTCTTGCTTGCATCCTTGCGGTCCTGATTGCGATCTTTCATCATGCCACAACCACGGCGCTCCCTCAAAATCCAAATTCCTTTCCCGTGTCCAACCCTAACAAAGTTTTGAAATTCGCTCAAGCTAGTTCCAAAAACATATCGTCTTTACGCGATACCAAGCATCCCATATCTCGGCGTCTGCAAGTACGCCAGTAGGGGGCAACAAGGTAGAAGTGATTTGGGAGAGAATAAGCGCTTTTGTATTTTTTCTTTTTATGAATGCGATTTTGGGTTCTTTTTTTTTTTAAGGAAAGCAAATCCCGGACCCACTTCTCAAGGTAATTTTTAATTGGGGCCGGGGTTTTTTTTTTTTTTTTTTTTTCTTTTCAAAAAAAATATTTATTATATTTTAAATATAAAAACCCTTTTTTTTTTTTTTTTTTTTTTTTTTTTTTTTTTAATATAATTTACTCCCTTTAAATATAAAAACCACAACAAAAACTAATATCATCATTTTTTTAAAAAAAAAAAAAAAAAAAAAAAAAAAACAATTAAAAAAAAAAAAAAAAAAAAAAAAAAAAAAAAAAATATTAAAAAAATTAAAAAAATAATACTAAATTTATTTTTTTATTTCCATTAAATAAAAAATAAAAAAAAAAAAAAAAAAAAAAAAAATAATTCTTTTTTTTTTTTTTTTTTTTTCCTTTAATTCATAAAATAAAAAAAAAAAAAAAAACAAAACACAAAAAAACAAATAAAAAAAAAAAAAAAAAAAAAAATAAAAAAAAAAAAAAAAAAAAACAAAAAAAAATTTTCGTTGTTTTTTTTTAAAATTTATTTTTTTATTTTTTGTAAAAAATTTATAAAATATTTTTTTTTTTTTTTTTTTTAATTTTTTTGTTTTTTTTTTCTTTTTTTATAAAACAAAAAACAAAAAAAAAAAAAAATTTTTTTTTCACTTTTTTTTTTTATTATTATTAATAAATTTCTAAAAAAATAAATAAAAAAAAAATTTAAAAAAAAAAAAAAAACAACAAAAAAATTTTGTTTGAGGGCTTCAACAACCACAACCAACACACTCAAAAAAAAATAC